TTTTTGAAACTAGCTCAACAAGGAGCATATTTTGGTTATTTTAAGCACTGAGTCAGTTGGGTGTGAAAATATGTATAAAAGAGTTTTTTTTTCTTAATATTTCCCCACACAAATGAAACCCAAATAAAAGAAATGGTGTAAGGCGAGTCGAAGCAAATCAACAAAATAGCAAATGGCACCCACAAAAGTAGGCAACAGATTTTGAGGCTTCTGATGCTGGCAATTTGTGCGATAAGGCGTGGCAGGAGCAGGAGCAGATGCAGTAGCAAGCAGGAATCGGCATCAAATTAAATTCACTCCGTTTTGCTGCAAGACGAATGTATTTTAGCCAAATGAAAAGTGAAGAGAAGTAAACAGTGGACACCGGCTGCAAAATACTCTGCTTCAAGTGTTAAGCTTAGGAAAATATTGTCATAGATACTCTAAAGATATAAGTTAAGGCTTAACCTCAGCTTAGTGTATGACTCAATAGAGCATGCCTCTGTTCAAGTTATATATATTATATGTCCTAAAGAAAGCTATGCTAAAACTTATATGCTTCGCTACACTTTGCTGGCAGAGTATCAAAATGCGAAATGCGAAATGCGAAATGCGATTTTTTCGTTTATTTTTTTTGCGGTTGGCCTTTTGATCGGCTTAGAGTTTGGACACCGTGAAAAAATGTACGCTCAAAGGGCATAAATCATTGTGAATTTATCATAAATCAAATTCAATTCTGCCAATGCCACGCCCACCCCCACAACGTTGCTGTTTGTGTATTTGCCTAACGCATACAGTTGCGTATAATAAATATATATATATAGCTGTATATAGAAGCAAACGCATATTTTATTTATTTATGATTGTTTCCAGTTGACTTGGGCAACAGTTTTCTTCTGGCAAGGCGCGACGGTCCTGGTCCGGCCATTTCTGGCTGCATTTGCTCGAATCTCCTACGGGACAAAGGTATTAAAAACGACATTTTTGTTACTCGAAAAAATGAGAAAATGAAACGTTGAAAAATTGAAAATATCTTATATATATGTATAATATAATAATAAAAAATGTAATACTATAAAAAAATGATATATATATATATATATACATATAGGCTTATATTCGTTAGCGTTTAGAGTTTATGGCTGAGTAGGGAATTACCAGCATGCTAAATTTGTATATCTACACAGATCTATAGAATATACATATGTATATATATATTTATATGTGTATATATTATTGATAATATATGCCATGCGCTACAGTAAAGCCTATAAAGAGGCAACTTAACTGCAGACCAAACAAAGTTGTTAGCAAATGCATAACTAAACGCAACTTTCTTTTTAGGGCTCAGTTCGCTTCTCGCACCTCATAAAATCAAATCCGCATTGCACATTTGCAGTATCTACTGTACGTGAATAATCGTTTATTTTCTCATGCAGCCAATTCATAAGCTACGTGCAAATTGGCCATTCAGCGTCATGGGCGGTGCTCACAATTTGATCGCCTTTGGTAAGCGCACAATATGTCATTTTGGCTATTGGCCATTTCCATTTCCATTCCGATTGCCATTGCGCCAGCCGAACTGACAACCTTCCGACATCATAAAAAAGTTTCTGTGTGCCCTGCACTCCCCTCGCTCCCGCCGGCTCCAATGTGCATTTCTGTTTGACGTATCTGCTAATTGAATCGTCGCTTCGGCCCGCTCCGAGCGACTCGTAAAAACCACAAGTGCCACAGCACACATCTACATAATGCCATGATTCCTAATCATGGACCGTAGTTTGATGGAAGTTGATTAAGTTCTTCATTGACTGCTCTGGCTATGCCTTCTGCAAATGTCATCAGTGCGAGGGCAGCCAAATATTGTGCTGACTTCTTCGTATCTGGAGTTGACCTTGCTGTTTGAAATTCTTTGTGTCGAGTCTATGTCTATCAGATATTAAAGTAAACCTCTTAAATTGAATTGAATTAAAAGATGATTCGGGACATAAGCTGCGCGTTTATTGGCCAACTGATTGATATTCATAATTTACCTTTTGACAGTCGTTTATTTATGTGTTGTAAATGCAAAAAGCGGTTATTGAGCAATTTCAGCTGTCATGTTGGCTTAACGTTTAACAGAGAAGGTCTTTGGGTAAATTTATTTTAAAATGTTTTACTTCGGTATATTTGACTTTATTGAGTGGTTAAAATTGATCAAATAATAACTAATTTTAATGCACATTTTTCTTATATTTCGTATCTCTCTTTTACCTTATAATAATCGATAAAGTTTGCCAATTTCATTTATAATTGAGCAAAAAATAAATGAATCTATTTATTTATTTGCCTATAGAGTTTCAATTGAAATATTAAATTCAATATATCCGGTTGAATGAGTAAACTAATATAACAAGCCCTTTAGAAGGGCGCATAAATATATTAAGTTTCTTTGAACAGGCTGCATCAGAGTCAAATATACACTATGATAACATTACTATGTGTATATATAAATTTTATTTGTATATAAAATATAAAATATAAAACAAAAATATAAAATATATAAGAATAAGTTTACTATATCTTGAAAGGAGTATCTGCGCAGTCAAGCATTGCCGACTGCCAATCGAGTTTGTTGCATAAGCCGATGATTCCTGCTCATGCTCCAGCTGATGTTTTCTGCTGAAAACTAATTCCTCACAATTTGTTTGACTCAAGGAGTATTCCCGCAGTCTGGCATTGCCGATTGCCAATCAAGTTTGCTGTTGTTTTCATTTTATACATATTTTTACTTGTGGCACTTTCATTGAACATGAAGCTGCATTAAAAAAACATATTTTATCGCACCAAGTGCTCTTGTTTCCAGTGCCAGTGCCAGTTTTTTCCTTTTGAAAATAAACATTTGTGCAATATAGATGTACATGTGTAGGTGTCTGGGTGTCTGTATGTGTGTGTGTCTGTGTGTAGACTGCAGTCTGTCTGGCCATATGGTCTATGGGTACTCTATATATTTTTGAACGTTCGTCTATTCAATGAGAATTTTCTTTTTAATGAATGAACAACATTTTTCCGTTGGCTCTTTTTATTATTTTTTACTATTGTACCTCGATGCCTGCGGCGCTTCAGTGGGACGGGGACGAAGTGTTCGGGATGTTCGCATATGAGTTTTTATTAGTTGCTGTTCGCCAATTGATTGGAAATATTTCTTTTCATGTTTCCTCCCCAATTGAAAAGCCGCAAATAAAAACAAAGAAAAATACTCAATAAATACGGCACACAGACCCTAGCCCACCGTACCGGACCGCCCCACTCCACCTAGCAGCTTGCCAAGTGCTCTGGAGTGATGGCATATGAATTACCCTTCTGTTTAGATAATAATAATTCCGAGCATTTTATTTGAGTATGGAGCGTGTGTACTTTAACAAAAAGATTTATGTATGAGCTCTTGCCCTCTGACAGCTGATGTTTAGCTTATAAATCTTTAATTTATTTTGTTTTGATTATCGGTTATTATTAAGCGCAAATCCATATGGGATACGCAGTGATTCTGAGAGGCAAAAAGTATTTTAACGATTCTTAAATAAATGCCAAAAGTTATTTTTATGAGCTCTGGACTAGTTGCCTTAACACGAGCTTGCTAACTAAGGAGGCTTTATGAAGCTCACCTGAGTGTCATAAAAAGCCGAAACAGTTGGAATTTAATTTACACATTAACCTAAAGATAACCTATTTTTGGGTTTAATTGTTGCGCTTTCGCAAATCCTTTGACGCCCATTCGTTTTATGAATTTTTAATCTAGTGTTTCATTTGCATTCTTACAGTCTGTTAAGTAAGCGCGGCACACTGTTAACTCTCTCGCTCTGTTAACCAGTTCTACTTAACAGAGTTGCTATTGAAGCAACGCGCAAAGTTTTCATATTTGCGCGCCATTTGAATTAGCATACAAAATAAGAATGGACTTATAAAAATAAATAATTTCAGCAAATTTGTATTGCATTTAGCTTAAATATTAATATATAAATACAACAATATCGCTTACCATCAGAGTTTGTGAATGTTTCACTTTCTTTGTAGCGTTTCGTTGCGTTTCTCGCATGCGATAAATGTGCCGAACAGACGCTCTCAGCGCGCATACGATACAATAGCAGAGCAGAACACGAGCGAGAGCGAGAGAGGGAACAACACGAAGTCGGCGCTCACTCAACTTAACAGCAGTTGTGGGTGCCCGAACGACCCACTGACACACTGATACTGTTACACGGACAGCAATGCTTGTGATAACAGCGCGCAACTGTGTGTGTGAGCAGCGACTGTTAATGTTAGGCGTCTGTTGCTGGAGCTGCGGCTACTGCTGCTGTTACGCACTCACACAGGTACGTGGCGTGCTGACGCCTCTGCTGCTACCCATATTTGCTGTTTGGCTGCTGCTCGCCTGTAGTTCGCTGCCGACGTCGTCTGCTATCTGCCGCTGTTCGCTGCTGGCTGCTTGCTGCTCGCAGCTCGTGCGACGTTCGCGTTGGTTCCGAATTTACAGTTAAACTTTCAAAGTGCGCGCATCAGGGCAGCGACAAGTGTTTAGGCGGACGGGAAAAGCGACGCGTCCGCAATTTTCACGCGCTGACTTTTCAAATATTTTTGGGAGCTGCGTGTAACGGTTAGCCAAAAATGCGAAACAAATTCAAAAAACAAAGAAAATATGAAAATAATATTAAAAAAACAGAAACAACAGCCGTAAAGAATTTAATGCATTAAAGAAGCCAAAAATTCGACACGGAAATTATTGAAAACAAAACAAAACTACAACAAAAAGAAAAATCCGAAGAATACGAAGAAAAGTGTGCGCTATAAAAAGCGTATTTTGAATAGTGTAATTGTTGTTGTTGGTGCGCTCAAAAATTTGTGTGGAAATTAAAAAATATATTTAATGGAAATGTGCCCCCAAGAAATTGAACTACAAAAACAGGCCAAGCAAATGTATGAAAAGTATTTTAGTATAAAAAAACTGAACTGAAAAATATATATATATATATATATGTGCATAATATTGATGAACTTAGAAGATAACAATTGCCTCTAGGATTTCCAAGTGATTTGTGATCTGTGTTGTTGTCTTCTAAAAAGCTGTACGTTTATTATTTGTGCGTTAAGCGCAACGCGTCATTTGGCACCTGTTCAGCAAGTTTCTTGAAAAGTGTTTAAAAAATCATTTTGAGCTATTTATGCTAACGAGCAACAGGAAATTAGAGGCGAGCGAGGGCTGAGCGCCTACCCAAGCAGCCGTTGACCTAATGTAAGTTGTTTTCTTTGTTGTTAGATTAAGATTTGCTTGCTTAGCGCCCGAGTGTTGCCAGCTCTTGATATACGTACACATTTCTTTATTCATTTGTTATCGTTGCATAAACAAATTGTTTGACAACTTAAGATGTGTGCGCGCTGACGTTCGGAAAATGTCAACACCTCTTTGGCTTATCGCAGTGCGAAAAGAACTTTAATTATAGTTGTGAAAGGCACTTGGCACAGCTCTTCAGAAGCTAAGTCAAAACACTTGAGGCCATTTGTGATTGTGTTTTAATGCGACATAAAATGCATTTTTATGACAAAGTATCTGTGAGATACAATTTGAAATTGGAATCGCCCAGATACAAGTTGATGCTACTGCAGCACTCATGCTGCAGCTCCTACGGCTGCCAAAAAGCACTTTAAAGCAAGCATCAATGAGATACAACTAGTATACTAGTATTTTATAGACTCAGAATTTAATGGTATTGGATTTTGAGTGCTGCCTTGCTCCTGCTTGACTCAAGCCACTTCAAGTCGAGTTCAATATTTGCGATGGTTTTTGATTGCTATATGAATAAATATGGAATTATCTAAGTATCTATGGGATGCAATTTAGGAAATGTATATGTCTAATATAAATTAATTATACTTCAGTATGCTCAAGTAATGTGAAGATACAATTTGATGTGAGTATATGTGAGGTGCAACTTCATGCAGTTGCAATCTATCTTTTCAAAAAAATCTCTAATATGCATTATAAAATAAGGATACTTTCTATAAGCTACAATTTCATATCACTGATTTCATTACAAAATCTATTGTACCTAAAAGAGACAATTTTCTATAGTTGCTTCATCAATTGTATCTATAAGATACAATAAAATATAATGTCACTATTAATTGTATCTATAAGATACAATTAAATATCATTGTAGTTTCTATGCTGCTTTTGAGTCACATTTGACTACATTTTTTTACTGCAAATTCAGGCAATTGTTGATCATTTGAAATGCATCGTTTGTCTCAACAAGTGCAGCAGCGGGTGCAGCTACTTATATATCTTTGAACTTTCACGAATTTCACACACGAATACTTAAGCAAGCAAATCTGTGTCTGTGGGTGTGTGTGTAAATTTACACATAACTGCAAAACAGCAAACTTAATTGACCAAATGAAGCTCAACGTGGCGGCAACTGCGCCGCAGTTACTACCTGTCTGCGTGTCTGCCTGCCTCTCTGACGGCCTGACTGACTGACAGTGGCATGAGCGAGTGTTGTTGCGTTGAAATGATGAACAGTAACAACAACAATGCGAGCCTTGAACATGAAATGTGAAAAGAACGTTGCCAAGAGATATAGCACCAATTCATGTGCGCACTTATACTAATTGCAGCTGATGTGCAGATTATTATAGCCAGGAGTGCCTGTCATTCGCATCAAACCTCTTTTTTTGTTCCTGAGTACATGTGGGTGTGCGTGTGTGTGTGTAAGTGTGTGGTTACTTGTGCGCCCAAGTGCCCAGCACTCCTTAAAATGGCACTCAAATGACAATTTTATTAAATGCCATTTTCAAACTCCATAATAGCTGAGAAAGCAAGCAAATTACCTGAAAGTCTGAAAATATTCATAAGTGTTGAAAATCGTTTAAAAGGCGAGAAATTTCAAGCTACAAAATATAACATTTTGTTAATAAATAATTGTATAGTATAAAGCAAATCAACAGCTACGATTTCTAACTAAATTAAGACTGAATATATATATAAACTTAAGCTAATCTCACATAAAAATAAATTTTTTGCTATTTTTATATAAAAAGAAATTATATTTGAAGCTCAAAGCTAAATTGAATCTACTTGAATTGAAATTAATTTAAATAAAAGATAAAAATAAAGCAGTTTAAATAAATATCAAGGAATTTACGAACTGACATGATCTCTATCGAATGAGATTTCAATTTGCCTGCTGACAAGTTCCATTGCTCCAAAGGGAATTGGAGCTGCATTGCCCCGTGATATCGTATGTCATGTGAAATCAATTGATATCAGAAAACGCATGTGAATGGCAGCTGCTACGGGACCCAGGTAGTATGAGCCCTTTGGCAATTGTAAATTGAGCGCGCGCACAATACAAGCGACAATCACAAAGGTAAAAAGGACAACGGAGCGTATGCGTAATAAAGTTCTCACACAGGGAGTGAGCGTCGCTTTGTTTTGCTTTGCCAAGGAACAATACGACGAAGAAAACAAAAAACAAGAGCAAATTGCATGAAGTGCGACGGAAGTGGAACTGAAGCATGGGCACGCCTCATCGCTTCGCTGTATGGCGAAATATTGCGCATACGCCTCGACGCCTAGCCTTAAATTTGCCAAATAAAACGTACGCAAGTAAGCCGACCGAAAGCTCCTAATTAATTAATAATTAATCACAAAAAAAGCTAGCGCGAAAAATAGCGAGATACCGAAATTGCTTCAAATTGTCAACTTCTCAACTGGCAAATATTGAAAAGGTCACACACTTCTAATCGCACGCGCTCTCTGCACTCTATGCTCCGACTCACTCCCACTCGCCCACTCATTGTCATTGCCAATGTCCAGACACTGGCAGTGGTGCTTATCATAATGACCGAAATGCTCTAATCGGGGGCAATTAACGTGACCAAATTTAATTTCCGCCCAGGTCGCTATCAACGACTGCGACGTCGACTGAGCCGTCGCGTCGCGTCGTCAGACGCTACCAGCGGCACAAGCGTCGCTATATTATTTACAAAATATCATTTAGCTTGCAGCGGGCCACTAATGCCATTGGATATCCATCATCTAAGCCAGGGCTGCGTCTTTAGATACACTGTCCGCTGACTTTAAACTGAGCATATTTGATTGAGTGTCCAGTTAGAGTGTATAAATCACATTGCAGAACTAGCCGCCCCCACATGTGGGTGTACCTAAAGGCAAGACAGCTGGAATTACTTTGAATCTTCTCCAAAACACGAATCAAATTTGTCGAGGCCACGTCCACGAACGCCTTATATTTAAAGTCTCAGGACATCTTAATAGGAAACACAGTATGGCGCAGTCAGTTGAATTTGGATTTGCACTGGTTTTTTGCTTCACTTTTCGTATGCTTTGTCATTTACGGCTTGCTTTTTGTGTTTGTTCGCGCGCAAAGATAAATGAGTGAACCACCGCCCAACCACCCATACGACTGTGATTAGCTGTCTGGCAGGTGACTGTGCGTTGCTGCTCCATGCTTCATGCTTCATGTTTTTGAGTCTGTAAAGTTGTGGCAGCCGTGTGGCCGCTGCGTCCAAGTCGCGCCTCCATTTCAAAATGGGCGTCTTGGGCGCAATTCAGCGATGCGCGAGGAATAACAGTAAATATATAGCACAACGGGAGAGCAAATTACTTATGTTAATTAGTTCGCGCGGCTAATGAGAAATCTCACACAGATTCCAAAATGATTGCCAGCAAACATAACCTTAGTCCCAGCCCAGCCCTCGTTTGCTTTGTGAGCCAAACCAAGGCCGCTGCCCTATGAAGTTATATTATCTTGTAATCATTAATTAACGCACATTTTGAATGCATTTGCTATTTAGCTGGAAATGCAATTCATGCAACTGTCAGTTGCTGCCACAAACAATAAATTTAATTTCTTTTTATTAAAAATTCAAAGGCTTTTCAACTGACTAAATAAATGCATTTTTTTGTTACTTCAGCTTAAAAAGGAGTAAAATTCCTGTCTGGCAATTATTTTTGTTTTGCCTTTACCTTGTGCTATAAATATAAAAGCGAGTTAATTAGAAGCGAATTAAAGACCCTTCAATATCAAGTAGCCGCAATGTGGGCGGGGGTTAATCAAAATTCCACAGCTGCTTTACAGGTCCTAGAAGAAACCCTATTAAAATAAAAATATGTTAGGGAAATATTTTAAAAATAAATTAATATTTAATATATATTAATAAAATTAATATATATTATTAAAAGTCTAAGAAAATCAGCTCTCAGCTAGCCTAGGAAAATTTTAAATGATCTGTAAGAGTTAATTGCTTTTAATTTCAAGAAGAAATTAATATTTAATAAATATTATTAACTGTGCAGTCTAAGACAATCAGCTCTCAGCTAGCCTAGGAAAATGTTAAATCATCTGTAAAGCTCAAACGTTGATTGAATATTCATGCAATTTAAGCTGATGCATTTTCATAAGAGTTAATTATCCTTAATTTTAAATGCATCGTTGGAATTGTTTTTTAAGCCAGCAAATAATTAAATTTTAATTTGCTTTTTACAATTTTTCATTATCAATTAAAATTAAGCAAATTAAATAGCATATATGTATTGAATGGCTGAAAGACAAGTAAAAACAATTGCGCTGGCATGAAATTAAATTAATTGAGTAAAGCTGCAGGCCGCGGGCCTGGGGTGGCGTGGCCACAATCGAAGCGCAGATTAAGAATGACTTTGTTGAAGGCGCAGGCATCCGATTATTGCAAATATGTCATATTGTTTATTAAATATAATACTGAAAGGCTTAAAAAAAGAATACAATACCTTTTTGTGCACTTAATGAAAAACTAATTAAGCGTGCCAGCAACATTTTTTTATTGATTAATTCAAATTGCAGTGCTTCATACGAAGGCATAATAAACTCCGGCGTGCATAATATATCTTAATTCCGTGCATAATTAATGCCTGCCATTAAGCTTTATTTCGCCCACGTAGCTTGGCTCTTTTGGCTAACTTTTTGGCCTAAAGACAACACCCGCAATGGGCATAATTAAAGCGCTGCAGGCAGGCACACGCACACACACACATAGAAGATAGGACACGTAAACACTCCACTTAACATGCTGCGATATACCATTTGATCCTGCTATCAATCTCAAAAACCAGAGCCAAGCACATACGCACATTGCGTATACGCAGCGTACGAAAGCTCTCTCATATTGCGTATACGCCTTTAGCAAGAATGTGACACATTCCCACACACACACACACAGACATTATTGATGGCCTGC